TCTTTAGAAAACTTCCGACTTTTGAAACCCAACGAATGACAAAACAAATAGGCTTTCATTAAAGTTAAACACAAGACACAAAACGGAAGCAAAGACTGAACGTATGAAAAAAGACTCTTTAATATTAAGCTGCACCTTAAGTTCTTAGCTCCAAATGCAATCAAAATATATGCACAAAATATATTTCTTTTTTTCAACAACTTCCTTAGTAAATATATATATTTTGAAATTCTTAATGACCTTCAGACCTTTGTTTAAATTCGAAATCAGGCTTGCGACGAAGGTAAAATAAAACACTATCTGCAGTTTTTCCATTTGTTTTGCAAATGCCGGTATATGGAACGGTAGTCGATCGGAACTGCTTGTCCTTTAAACGCCCTACTACCCTCTCTGGGACAGATGCCTCTTGGGGCGTTCAAGGTCAACGCTCCCTCTTTGCCTTTTCTCACGGCATTTTCAGAGTAAATTCCGTAACCAATTGCTCGCTTATAAAAAGAAAAGAAACAGTATTACCCTGCCAGGTGGGTCCAATCTTACCCAAATATGTTTACACTTTTAAAGCATGCACTTCTACTCTCTTCCTCTCCCTCACTCTCTATCTTTCTCTCTCTCTCTCTCTCTCTCTCTCTCTCTCTCTCTCTCTTTCTCTCAATCTCTCTTTCTATATCGCTGAGCTGACTCAGCTCATGATAGGCGACAAAAAGAAGATTATAAATTATTCATTCATTAATTACAAGCATAAGCACAACCTTATTATAATATATGTATACCTCCTAACATTAGTAGGGTCACGGAGTAGCGAGTGATACGACTTCCTTTGCGTAAAATTTTGTTATTCAAAAAAGTATATAAATGACCTTCACATAAAACTGCGGACCTCTTGTTTCCTACTTATAAATATGTATATTAAAACAAAAATTAATTAATTAAATTTTCAGAAATCTTGTAAAAATTTATGGCGCTCTCCAAATTAATAAACAAGTAAATAAAATATTTAGATTTTGAAATATTTGTTTAGAGTTAAGCGCAAAGTCAAGTCTCTGCTGTTAACTAAACAATGTTTATGGCGTTCGCTTGTTTATTGGCTTAGACTTCCGTCTCTGTATAAATGATTTCTCTGTAAGAGTTCTCAGGCATTTCTTTCACGCATACCATGACGAATTGAAAGCGCTGAGAAAAGCGCTAAGTAAATCTTATTTTACAAACATTCCAAAGCTTGCGTGTTCAGGCGCATTTTTTCTTTCAATCGGAAAACGGAAAGAAAGCCTGACAAGAGTTATCTTATTGCAGCCTATAAAAAATACCTCAGCAAGTTGGAAAATATATTTTTAGATTGCGTTTCTCTTGACAATAGCACGTCTTTCTCTATTTCGTTTTAATTAATTGACGGCTTTAACGGATATCATTTAAATCATAAAAATATCATAAATAATTAAAATTAAATTTAATATTGCGTCAAGGAAAAAATTCGTAATGTTTCTATTGATCTGTTTTTTCTATTATTTTCATCATTTATTTAAATATGTTTTATATATATTTATTATTTTTATTCATTTATTATATTTATTAAGTAAAGTTTATTAAACTTAACATGTGCCAAAGTCATCAATAGCTACATATCTGATATGGGATTATGCCATTACTGCAGATTGTCTAGGATTTGTGGGCAAAAACTCAAATCAAATAATTTTTACGGGCATACTTTGAAGCCGACTTTGCACCCTTAACGGGAGTCAGCAGAGAATGGAACAAACGCTAGTCGGACGGGATAAAATTCGGGCAAGATAGTGGATGCATTAAAGCTTCTTAGCCCAGCTCTCAAAGTTTTCGTCAACCATGTGATCTCGTATTGCTGTGATCGAAAGCAATGCCTTTCGCATCACGTTTAGCTATAGCCTAAGAGAGATGTATTTCTTAAAACTTGCTTAAAACAAGTTCCGGTCAATGAACTGATGCGCCCATATATAACAGAATATTTCACATCCATAATGCGTTGGTTTCAGGTGATCGGAGACAAAGGTTCGTTTTAAAGCGACTATGGGAGCCTCACAGAGACGCCACACGTCATAAACATTTTTATTCTAACGCTTGCGGTCCGGAAATATCAAAATTGACCCAAAGTCACAAAAACTTTGGCAAGAAAACGCATTGTTGCTGCTGCTATGACTAATGAGCGATCACAATGCCACAATGTGGCTGTAAATCTCATCCTCGTTATTACTTATGATTACACACTGCCCAGCTTTACAAGGTAATTATAACATGGATTCACTTACGAGATGCTGCGATTCATTTTCACCTTCACTTTCACTATCTGCTAGGACGGGTAGCGAAACTTTGTCTTTAACCTAATTATGCTTTATCTTTATATCAGCGATCACACATATCTGGACAACCCTATGCCCTAGGCGATGTTTAACTGTTTTCTTGCATCAATGGAAAGCATAACGATAACAGTGCGTTCTTTAATGTCGGGCAGTCAGCTTGTAAAAGTTATTACCTGTAATTGTCGTGCATGTGCATGGCACGGCAACGTGTAAAGAATTTATAATTTCAGTATAATAGAACCGCAAAACATCTCCTGCGAAGAAGAAGGTGAGAAGAACAAAACTTCAAACTCACATTTAAAAAAGGAAAGGTTACAACCGAATATTTTGATATCCTTCTTCTTCGTCGCTCCTTTTTTTTCCTCATAAATTTCATTCAAAAATTAAGAAATATCTTTTTACATAAGGTAGACGTGAATGTTGCGCTGTTACTTGTGTTGCGGTAACGTAACGTAACATATTTAATATTTGTTGATATGAAATAAAAAATGTTGAATGGAATGGCTGCTTTAGAGTTTCTTGTAGGTCGAAGAATGAGTGGTAGTTGCTGGGGTCAATCATTTGGTAAACTTAACATACCGCATATTTGTTAAGCATAATAATATCTCCGACTGTTCGAATTTTTTTCAAAGCAAATAAACGACGGCAAAAGTTATTGCCAACGAACAGGTAACGTGAACAAGTTAACATTAACAACACAATGACTAGAAAGGCTATAATTGCGTCGGAGGTAATCGGTGATCGAATAAAATTTTATAAATGGAAAACCCGATTTTTTATTACTTGATTATTACAAATAAGGAATTAGTAATTACGAATTCTATTCTACGCATTAAGAACTATGAATTTATGAATGAATTATTTATGAATGAAATTATGAATTAGGAATTATGAAGTGTGTATTGTAGGAATTAGGGACTAATTTTTACGAATTGTGAAAGTTATGAATTTGGATGTACGAATTATGGTATATGAATTACATATTATAAATTTTGCAATAATGAATTGTGATCAATGAATTACGAATTATCAAAATTTGCAATTATGAAATATACTTTTTAGAAATTGTGAATCACGAACTATGCATTGGAAATTAGAAACTATAAAATTATGAATTGTGAATTATAAGAATTAGGATTTATGAATTATAAACAAATTGTAAATTACAAGTTATGAGTAGAAAGTAAAATGATGAACTATTAGTTATGAGTTATTAAGTTGTGGGAAGTATGAATTACGCCTTATGATTTATATGAACTAGAAATTGAGAATAATGAATTAAAAGTGGAAGATGAAACTGTGGACCATGAATTTTAAATTATGAATTACAAGAATCATGAGTTAAGAATTATGAAAAGGTAAGTATGAATTATGAAATTACCAGAGCCATGAAATGTGAATTATATGTTACAAATTGGGAATTATGAGTTACTTCTTATAAAAATTAGAACTTATGAATTAGGAATTAAAAGTTGGAAATTAGAATTTGGAATTAGGAATAGTCGATTAGGAATTACGAATAATATACATTAGGAATTAGGAATTGGGAATTAGGAATAGTCGATTAGGAATTATGAATAAAATTGACTGCAAAATAGTAACGGAATTTTTCATCAGTGAAAGACGCCTCGCTGCTCGCTGGTTAAAAGTACTTGCATTCTGCTCTTAAAATTATTCGTATCAAGCCACGGATCTATGTGCCATTGTGCATTTTTCAAAGTTTTTCATGGACAATGATTTCTTGAATCATTCGCATCCATTGTCAGACTCTATGGCTACCGAATATCATCTCAAAGATATCAGCAATCGATAAGAGACTGAATCAGAGACTTGCATCTATGCGGTGCAAGCATGCCGCAATATACTTTTGATGCGGTTGTCCGGATGTTACAAGTGAAATTTAAAAATTAATATAACTTTATCCCTTCGTTATACGTGCACGAGAAGAACGCAAAAGGCGTTTATTTTAGCAACAACCTGTTTTATTGTAACCTAAAGAGATGAGTCATTTACTAAATTGTGCATGCACAAGCTTGCTTAAATGTATATGCGCGACGGAGTTATGGGAAATTTGTATTGAAAAAAAGATGTTTTGATTTCTTAAGCGCATGTTTAGTGCTGACCGTTAACAAAGTGCGATTCCCACGGCCACTCCCTTCACACGAAACATTAAGAGATATTCATGTGCGCTTGCACACACACAAACACACAGACATGCAAATATGTATTATTACCATTTTAGAAACAGATATGTATCCGTGTATATATGCAGAAAGGTATAAGATCGGGATATGAAACAAGTGAACTTTAAGCAAGACAGCTTCGATTGATGCAAGCAAAAAGAAAAAGAGTACGAACATCTGCATGCCTGTTGCAGACACAAGAAGAAGGAGAAGCAATTCAAAGAGTTAAGCAATAAACCAGCTTAAGCTGAACAGGTTTACTGCCTAAGTCTTTTGTTTGTATATGTAATTCATAAATAACAATAGCAATAACAACAGCAACAACAACAACAGCAAAAAAATCGATAATTTGTTAATTCATAACGTAATAAATTACAAATTTATTTGTACGATTTTCCGCATGCAAGGAAACCCTAGAAAATTCGATTGTCGTTGAATAACTTTTTATTAAGAAAAAGAAAAATTTGATCTTTGGCTATTACGTAATAAAATGAGATATTATTTGTTTGATGAGATTTGCCTGCACAATAAAAAGGATGACTTTTGGATTATTATACATGACAATATCTTCAATCTGACGCCTATGCTAAAGGACCGATACGACTCCTGGAATAAAGTTAGTTTTCGTAGGCAAAAATTGTCGACCTTTACTTTGTTTTTTCTTTGCAGAATCTTGACTTACTTCTAAGCTTTGGCGGCAAAGATATATCGCATTTTTTTCTTTATAATAATTTGCCAAAAACCGAAATCTCTCCGGTCACTGGCAAGCCGCGTGTATTGTTTCCGCCCATATTGGAGGCGGCTGTTAGCGAGCATTGTAAGACTACCGGTAAACTTTGGAGTCAAGACTCTTTTTATCATATCGGTCGTTTGACGAGAAAAGAAAGGCGGCTACGTATCATTAACACGTTGACGGGCACCACCACCGCCATGAAAGTTTGTGATGAGGACACAATCTACGATATCCAACGGAAATATTCCGAACTCTACAATTCCCATGCGGGCAGTTATTTATGGCGAAAATTTTCATATGGTGTAAGTATGCACGTTATAGAGAAAGGTGGAAACACATATTAGAAAGGAATTAGAAGAAGAATGAAGCTAATGAACAGTTTTCCCGTTACGTAGCGTTTATTTGAAGAGAAGACCGCTAGTAGAGATAAGCTTCAAGTATGCAAACGTCAAGTATTCTTCAAGTAAGCTTTCAAATTACATTGTGTCCATTCTTTTTCCGAAAGTTTTGTTTTGCTGGACTTCGATTGGTAAAGTATTGCATATAGTATATCGGGAAAATCTGTAGCGAAAAACTTCTTAAATTACAAGAAGAAGGAAAATACTTTGCGTCCAATTTCTAGTAACATTGATATTCGAAATCACTTGGCCGCTTTACGTCCTGCGTGAAATTATTAAAAAACTCTTCATTTCTGGTCCATATAGTTTCCAGGACTAAATAATGGTCGCACCGAGAGAAAGCAAGCAAATACAGAAAATGTTAAGGGACACAGAGTTGCGTTTTCGCCTTGAAATAATCAACGGGCGTAATTTCATGATCCTCTTTAAATGCAGGAAGTCGGCTAATAGATAGCTTTAGTAGGTTTCTGTGTAAGGAAATATGTTGCTCATCTCCTGGCGTAGCCTATATTAAGGCACTTCAGGCTTGGAAGTCTGAGAGCATTTGACAGAGAACATGACATGAGAGAGAACCTTTGACTGCTTATCTATTATTGTATTTATTGTAATTCGTGTCCTATAATCAGTATTTGCAGCACGGATCAGAGTTGTAGCTCTAATGGTTCTATTAACAAAGGGAAAGGAAAAGAAAAAGTTTTAAGCGCTATTATTAATGCTTGTCCGGAACGAGATTACAACTAAGCAAATACAGGATAAGTGTCTTATAATGGGTTTTTGTTGTAAGCGAGCTCAAACATCTGCGCATTTAAGTAGCAGTAGTACAGTAGTGTCTGTCCGCAGGACTCTATGAGAGCTGTCATCCTGTCCGAATTAAAGGAAGAAGGCTTGAAGGACATAGTAGACGAAAAACACAACGAAAAATGGAGTTTTTGTCAACTTTTCTTTTGGACGGAATAGAAAGTAATTGAACAATAAAATTCGGGGAGGTTAGTAGGCGTATATTTAAGCATAAAAAAAGTAAAATATTTCTAAGATATATTTAAAAATGGCGACACTAGCGCTATAACCTTGAAAGGGCTCTGCTGCAAATTTTATGACTGATCCAACATTGAAAAAGTGAAAATCATTTATTCTATATCCCTATATCTAGTGAAATATGTAGGAGATTTGAAAAACATATCTGTACACGCTTGACTCGTATTTGAATAAAACGGTTCAATTTCATCGAACAAATCAAATTTTTAAGATGTTGCCACGCCCACAATTGTCTCTTTAGGTCATTCATGACTATTTAAGAAATAATTTGAGTAAACAAAAAAAATTTGATTTTTTGAGAAATGCACAGAGCGGCGCACCCCTCTAAGGCGGCGTAATATAACTTTCTTGAGGCATTAAAATCTTCTGTTTTTCTCTTCGAGTTCTTCAGAGGACTTCTGGACGAAGGTATCGTTTTGAGTAAAGCTCTATAGACAAATGCGCTTTAGTAGGCATTTAAGTTTACGTGTAGTTACGCCTAAGTTAAAGGGCTTCTGTGACCGTACAGAAGTATTCTGCAAATAGCTAAAGAGTCATTAATGCGATTAGGAGATGGCTGACCTTTTCAGCGACATCATTTCATGCAAAGTGCATTGTAAACTTTGGATAACATATTCTGGTTCGTATCAATCTGATCTCTTTCTAAATATTGCTCAAACGAAGATTTTTGGAAATAAATTTGGATTTGCAGCAAGAAGATTTATGCTGAGCGACATTCTGTAGTCAGAACACAAAATCTTATCTATTATGTTGTTTGTTTGTAAGGCGAAATAAAGTTTGTAACTTGCAATTGTATTACATGAACCATTTTCATCCTTAATCGTGATTCTTCCTCCTTTTAACATATATTTGCATATCATTTACAGGGCGACTGTCCCGGTGAATTGCTGTTACATGAAACTCTAGACGGCAACGGTTTAGTCGACGAAGAAACTGATATTGAATTACCACCGCCCTCTATATGGTTGTACTATACTAATGACTTGACTATAGCTTAAAAATTTTCAAATCAATTTTTTTATTTTATATTTTTAAAATTATCATTTTTAACAATAAAAAATTTTATGAAATTTTTCCAAGTTTTCCGTTTAAAAATTGTCTGGTAGCTGACACATTTTATTTATGCATAAAGTCATGCGTAGCAAAATTATTATATTTTTTTATCAGATATACAGCCAGCCGCCATATATGCGTTCAAGACAAATTAGTGGAAAATTTTCCAATTCCAAGAATTGTTTATAATATTGTATCGCTAAATGTTCGCCTTATGCATTTTACTTTAATCTATGAATGAATTGATCATAATGCTTAAAAGCTTTGAAAAAAGAAGAAACGAATGCACACTGAGGCATAAGGCACATAATAATAATAATAACGATACTGGATTCCATTCATATATAAATTTTTAATTTTTCTTTGCTTCTTTCTTTTTTTAATAAAAAGTCTAAGCTCAAGTGAAGCAATTGCCATGAAAAAGCAGCGCAAACGGTTGAGACAAGAAATTTTCCTATGGTTGGTTGCATTTCATGGATCAGTTGGAGCAGACATTCTGGTGGAGATACCACATATGTAGCGATTTGAACATGCATACAAGCAACTGACTTTAACTTTAAAGTCTCAAGTGTGCAAAACGTGAATGTATTCATTAATAAGAGAAAGACGACCGCATATGTCCTATCATATCCGAATACGAATCTATGATACCCAACATCGAACGGAGGGAGGGGGGGGGGGGGGGGGGAAACAAAATGTAAAAGGAAGAGTTTAAGCTACGACACGTTTTTTCATATGCCTTTTTGGTCTAGAGGACCAAAATCGATGCCTACTTACAAGATTTATTAAAAATCCAATGGAATCCACTGATTGCAGTAGTGTATTAGGGGAATGGAAAAAGCTGCTGCAAATTACTTCCCTTGGGAAGTGCCTGCTGAATGAAGCATCTGAAAAATCTGGCGAAATATTTTCGTCGAGAAGATTCTCTGAGCTAAAAATATTTTATTGACTTCTAAGGGCTTCTTACGGATATGTTGCAAACGTCATAACAATATTAGTTCGTCTTCGTTTCCAGCTAAGCCATAAAGCAAATCAATGCACACAGTCAGAGAACGCGAGAGTACACATTCTTTTGATGTCTGAATGTCCGCCATGTTAAGCAGTGTAAGGAATTTTTTTTTTTTTTTTCCTTATGATGAAAAGAACAAAAGCAAACGCTGACTGCAATAAGTGCGTGTTGAAAATTTAAGCGTAAATAAATGTTTAAAGCACACTCACTCACTCACTCACCACATACATACACATAAACAAACATGCGCATAAACACTGATATAGTTTGCAATTTTTGTATGTAAATATGCAATCAAATCCATGTATAATGTAATCATTACAGCAAAAAAAAAAAAAAAAAAATAAAAGAAAGATAACAACAAAAATTGTACGAGTCATACAACATTGAAAATGTACTGGTATTCGGGTCTACTGGACGAGCAAACTCTACGTGCAGCCATTAAATGATTAAATTTTAGCGCGGTGAGCTTCTAATCGGAGTAAAGTCAAGCTTCGTGGTTCCCTAACGTAAGTTAAACGATCGTTGAACTTATTTGCTCTCACCACCAGTACAGCCAGACAACGATCTTCCTCTTTTAATAGAACTATTGAATTAATTGTGCGCGACGTTCCGTTATCCGTAAATTTTTGTGTAAAATGATATTCCGAACGTAAGGATACAAAATAACTTCCATTTGAGAGAAATTGCCTTCAAAAGCGGCGAAAGAAGCGGTCAAATGCTTAGTTATTCATTGCAGCCGCTGTCCGCGTCATTTACCACATCAAGGCCCGGTCAAGGTAAAAGAACATTTTGCACATGAATGCGAGCGCTTAGAATTTGCCTCATGCCTCGCCACCACGAAGGCACAGGCACTTATGGGCAACGAAAGTGTGTCTAAAAACCTTCACACTTTTGAACATCGGCGTAACGCAGGCTGTGCTCTATTTATCTACGGCAAGCTCCAGATATGAAAGAGATTTGCCCGTTAAGCAAATACTTGTCTCTCTTACTCTTTCCAAAACTGCACACTTATTGTGGAGTGGACTGCTTGCTCTTTAAACGCATTGCCATCTATTGGAAGGATTTCTTTGCAGTAAACTTTTCTGCTGTTCTAGGCGTTTCCAGTTTCAAGCGCACATGAACGCTACTCCTTCTTGCCTCCTCCCTCTATTTGTTGTCGTTCGCGACTACCGCGTTTGTATATATATAGAGAATGTCCCTGAACGGTCGGTAAATAAAAAAAGAGCAGAAGCTGTACGTCGTTGGCTCGCGAACTTAATCTGAGAAAAGTTACAAGTGGCTTTTATAGGCCAGCGCTTGTGACTTCAGACTTCACTAAATTCGGTAAAATTCATATTCATCGTGTGTAAGATCTGGGCAGCATTCACCTACGGCTAGTTGTTGCTATAACAAAGTGAACGAAAGTGCATCAGCATAAGAAATGACGAAATATTGTATGAACCGGTCCTCTTATCAGAAGGTGAAGGTAAAGGCGATGTAAAACTTTCGCTTTGATATGAGTTCAGTACTTTTTTGCAATACAAAATCGAGCAAAGAGCACAACGCTCTTTCCGCGATTTCCACCGCAAGCACAGCTACAACAGAAACGCACTTACGAAGCACTTTGAAATATCATGGCGAAGAAAAAAATTATTTAGTAGCTTCGGTAGCCAAACTATTTCCATCTCACGTTACTCGTAGCAATCCTCTTTTTTGGGAAGCGGCGGCAACGAAATCTTATTTGCCTTAAGTAAATTGCGTAAGATGTAACAAATGATTCACTTTCTTGAAAGCTTTAAGGTCTGACCTCCCAGCACAAGTAATTATTTACGGTCTTGTGATTATCAACAAAAATCATTGCCGCAGTCAAGTCGAACTAATTTAGAATACATATCAGATGACATAAATGGCAATTTTCTTGGTTTTTGTGTTTTTTTTTTTTTTTTTTTTCGACAGCTTCTATGTCCTGGCGCTGTTGACCGCAAAATGGAAACGGAAGTTTAAAATAAAAAAAATCTTTTTTTCGGTTTTTTTTTTTTTGTTTTTCTTAAAAAGCAAAATCTTGTAGTTATTAAAAAGCTATGACATTTGATATTTTGTAGCGATTATCCGCTTAATAACAATAAAATCGAAACCTTATAATAATTTCACATTCAAGAGATAATTTAATAACAGGAAATTGCTAAAAATTTTAATGATCTGAAATTCTTTTGCAACTGACCTAGACCTGCTGGCTTGCATGCGTGCGTGTGTGTTTGCGTGCGCTTACGGGCATGCGTATGTGTTAACCAACTCGTAAGGCTTGCTTTCTAAACAGATTGCTTTCAATTTAAATTACATTAAAATATGTTTGACGAGGCAACATGACGTACTAGCATAACAAGTGATTTTCATTTCGCAGATGTTTTTATGTATGCGATACATAAGAAGAACCACAATTATGCTTAAGGAAATCATGCATCTAGAGGAACGCTTCCCTTATTCTTCGCAAACAAAAAATCGCAAAAGCAAAGGCAAAAGAAGCTTAACGTAATCACCATCAAAGTAATGCAAGAGAAATAAAAACGAACGCAACAATAAGTTTTCATTGTATTTTACTGCGTACAGAAGCTTCACGTACTGTTCCTTATCTATAAATTGCGATTTATAACAACTTGAGATACATATATCCAGCTACAAGCGAAACATACATAGACTCTCTACTCTACAGGTAAACAACATAGAACACAAGTATCGATTAATCGGATGGATCGGCGTGTTGTTCAGCCGACAATTGTTGCAAATCTGAAGCAAATTTTTGATGATTTTATTACTTTGATGAAATTAACATTTCTCGGGCAGAGTTCTGCCAGAAGAAAAAGAAGTGTTATTGAACTTATTGCACCAGTGCGACTTATGCCGGCCTTAACAGGCATAGCAGATGCCAGCTTTGAAATATTGCTGAAAAACACTAAACGAATCCAATTCTTAATCAAAGAGGTTTGTCAAGGCTGACACAGAGGGCATTATTGCATTACTTACATAAGCCAAGAATTTTTTTTTTTCTGCCATAAGCACTTGAGAAATTTCTCCCAAACTTTTAAGCTTGATGATGGTTAGCAAAGAAGAGGAAATAGGGAGTAGCGTTCGAATATATTCGATGCAAATGGAAGAACATGAGGAACCGCTGTGAATATCTTTCTTCAAACAAATTATTCTGGCGGTGCCGGTTAGCATCATTAATGGACGAACAGTCGCGCTAGTGCATCTGGCTATTCCAAGACATGAAATATTGTATATTCGAGCGCTAAGAGAAATCTATTTAGTTCTGTTTTAGGACTTGATTGTTGGAGAGATTTCTTTTATTCCTGTAAAGTCCTTTCCATCTAACCGCAAGGAAGACAAGAAATCCATCTTATGCCAAACTTAAGAGTACCACTGTTTATAGGGTTGTCGTATTAAAAACAAGTGTTTCGCTTTACGTGAACACATTACAATATGCGTTTTAAAGGGGTTACCTTTCCATTCATAAAGTCTCTTCATCTCCCTTTCTTTTCCTTAAGCCAACTGGTGACTAGTGACACTAATATAAGTTCATTATAAGTTAAAGGCACGCATTTCCAAAGCAAAAAAGCATTTTTCTGCACTTTTTTTATGCAATGACTATAAGGAAATGCAGAATGAGCCAAACTTGAAGACCTTCGGGCTCGCGGTAAACAAGTCAGCAATTTATTTAGTTTTTTCGTTTCGGGTTCTCACGGAGTCGAATAGTAATTTGTTAAGCTTTCTTGGGGTCTCACGATCTCAGCTCTTTTATGTCGAATTTTCATCCTAATAACAAGGCATTGAAAGGCATTATCTTATCTAACGAATATTAAGGCACATTGATGTGGATCTAGTTTATCTTCTCCTCCAATCGTCCCCATTAATGCGGAAATGCTTTCGCAGCACTTTAACTCTTTATGTCAAGTTTTGTGACTTTAACCATTTTCCTACAAAATAGTCATCAAATTTGAGTGCTTTGGAAGTGCATAGAGTATGAATCATTCCAATCCGATAAATTAAAACAAAACATTGGCAACAAATCAATTATGGGTATTTAAGGCTTCTTTAAAACTTTTAATTTGTGCACCTTCGGGAGATTTAGTGCTGACAACAGCGATAAGTGGGAATCCTAGGAAGACTTCATCCAGTGAACACAAGTAACTGTCAAGCTAAGCTCTATGGAAAGTAAAAAAAAAAGAACAAGGAAATTTTGCTTTGCTTCAAGAACTGAAACTAATGCAGAATTAAATGTTTGCAAGAACTCTCCTACTAGGTCTAGTATTAATAAGAGCGATAAGCAAGAACTGTACAAAATTCTTCGTTTGGTGGAAGACAATACTTATCATCATAGGGTAAGCCTACAACGAATTAAAAATTGAGCCATAACATGTCAATTTTAACAAAATGCAATAGAGCCGATAGAAATGTCGCTGGGAACTTCTGTTTTGCTGCTGCGATAAATATCATTAGGGAAAACGCATACACACATGGATCATTAACAACAATATATGTATAAATATTCGTAAAAGGACATACGATCTGTTTTCGTTTTAAGGAGAATGAAGACACAAAGCAAAACATGCGAATATACAAAGCAGACAGATAGACAGACAGACAGACAGACACGCGCAATTGACAACAAGAGAAAAGTTAAAACTATCATGAAGATGAAATAAAAAGCAGCAAACAAAACAAACACAACAATAATAATAAAATTATATAAACATATATATAATAAACATATATATATATATATATATATATATATATATACACATACACACACACACGCAGCATATGCTCAACTGCAGAAAGTGAAATAAAAAAAAAAAGCATAGAGTAAACCCGACACATATGTGACTGTGACTATAGCAGAAGACACCAACAACAGCATATAATAATAATAAGCAATAGCAACAGCACCAATAACAGCAACAACCACAACATATTGTATAAAATTACTTGAGTATGTTAAGCTTACTATATATGCGCTGCTTACTTGCTTGTTTGCAATGTTTTAAACCGAAAGCGGACGGTTATGCACATGATTTGTTGTTAATATTGTTCTTGTTGTTTTTGCTGTTTTTTTAGTTATTTTTTTTTAGTTTTTTTTTTATGACAACGGCTTCCTGTAGCGACTATGACGTGTAGAACTAATTGTCCACTTGCCAAGTGCTGACGTCTACCGGTGTGATTAGCAATCAATCTCAGTTACGATGAACGTATATTAGTTCTATTGATTACTGAAAGGAAGATGAACGCAATAGAGAGAGGTTTCGTTAATGTTTTTGCCTCTTGTTGTTATTACTATTGTTGTTGTTGTTGTTAATACGTTTAAGATGACATTACAGTGTTAAACATAAATCAGTTGTTAAACATCTTTCAAACCAAGAAGAAGCATTGTATGCAATAAAGCATTACATCATCATCATCATCATTGTTGTCATCATTTAATAATTAACTAATATAAGCATTAAAAGCAAAATTAAAAAATAAAAATAAAAAAAGGAAAAATAAAATGAGTTTAAAAAAAGTAGCTTTTGAAAAAATTAAAATATAAATTTATATCAAATAAAGTTTTGAATTTTTTTTTTTTTTTTTTTTATTATTTTCTCATTTTATAATAATTACTCCTTAAAAGGCTTAAAAATCTGATCAATAAATTTAAAAATAAATATATAAAAAACAAAAATAGTAATAATAATAATAATTAAATATTGGCAAGAAACTAGAAGAAAAATACATTAAAATTCATGAAATGCCCTAAAAAAATTATGGATTGAAAAAAAAAAAGTTAGAGGAAAAGATTGTTTTTTAAAATATTTCATGTGTTGTTTTCAAAACTCAATTATTTATGGCTTTTGCCATATTAAGTAAAACGAATTTAAAGTGCTTGTGGTATGTTGTCTTGGACTGTGTTCGTCTTATAAATATTAATATAATAAATTGAACACAACTTTGCCAGGTATCAAGAAATCAATGCTAGAAAAACCCACACGAACAATATTTTCGATGAAACTGATTTGCAATTTTTAAAACGCAAACACCGCCTTATTTGGTTCATTTTAGCGTTCAAAAGCGTTTTTAAAAACGCGCGCGCGCGCGCTTACTTACTAATACACTTTACCCAACGTATAATATATATGTGTAATTACGTATATTAAAAGTTTTCGGAAAATATTTTGTTGGTTTGTTTGTTTGTTTTGTTTTATTTTTTTTCTTCAACAAAATGTCAACCTCGACAATATCGTATAATCAACAAAAACCGGTACCACCTTTGCCCACAAGCGGTCGTACAACTAAACTACACCAGCATACTGCTACTGTCACGGCAGCAACAACAGCATTGAAAACATCGCCACCAATCCGTTGTAGTTCTAATATAAATCTAACAGCAACGGATTCAAGGACAAACTTAGCCGCAGCACAAACGGCAGCAGCACCTACACCCTGTCATCGTTTAAGGTAAATATTTTGCCGAGGTTTCGTGTTATGTGTGTTTACTTATTTTTGCTCGCGTATAAATTTCAGTTTAACACTGATTTGGATTTTTTTATGATTTCTAACCTTTTCTGTACAAAAGGAGATGTTCGTGGCATTAATTTTTTTTTCTCATTTTTTTATTAAATATTAATAAAAATTCGTTTTTTTTCTTTTGTTTTCTGTTTTTCTTTTTCCTTTTTTTACTAATTTAGTGAAATGTTTCGACGTTCCATAGCTGGCACTACAGTACCAGCAGAAACCATTGAAAATATGTATGAAGAGGTAAGTAAAATAAAGGCGAAGACGACTCCTTGATATATTACACAAATCATTTTCATATTTTATACAAATATTTTATATCATTCATAGTTGAGGTAAAAATTATTTAAACATTTTGCCGAATAGCTAACGGTCACGCTTGCCAAGTCGACACAAATCTGAATACGATTTGATTATACTTGCCCGTAGCCGACTAGTAAGCGTTAGGCATAACACTTAACGACCCGCTAGGGTGCGGCAACCGTCTTTTTCTTTCCCCACTTGCTATCGCAACAATACCATGCTGCCCTTTTAGGAGACATGCCCTGAGCGGCTGGCTATGCCCAATATGAAAAAAAAAAAATTTATTAGCTCACTAGCATGTTTAAGTCCGTTAAGTTTAACCACAATATCGTTTTTTTACCAAATATGATGATATTGAATATAAAATTCGAATCAATTAGGTCTTTTAGTTAGACTCAACCATATAAAGGGGCTCTCATGAATAACAAACACTTGTAAGGCGACAAAGTCGCACTTGTTAGACTTTGCAGAAATAATTGCCACTTGGGGACAATTATCTTATACTCTTTGCTACACCGAAATATTCAAAATTAAGGCTTCGACGTTTGCATTGCCCCAACGTCAAAAAGACTGAGGTAGAAAGTTTAAATTCTGCGCATAAATCCTTCAAAACATTTCTGGCAGAGTTGGCTCGAAAGTTGGCACAAAATTAAGAACATTTACTCGTTGCAAAAATATAATCGATCGAAAGAAAATGAACAAAAAGGCGAAAATTGCAATCCTAATCAAAATGCACATACACATAAAATACACGCACATACACATATATTTCATTTTTTGTTTCATTTGTAACGATTTCGAAATCATCAAAATAAAAAAAAAATAAAAACAAAGAAGAACATTGTAGTCGGGCTACGCCGCTCGTTCGATGCACTATAACCCTTCGCCTAACATGTATCATTCGTCATTCATTCATTTTAGTGACAATAAACACACAAAATTACACTTTACTTCATGACAACGTTATAAAAATCTAGACCTTTGCGATCCAAATTCCCTATGCTCGATTTTTACATTACATTGTTACTATGGACCAATTTTCGTCATAAAATATTAAAAATTAAACTTTTTTGTTAAAGGGCTTACTATTCATCGGAATTCTAATATGGAATGGCGTCCAAAAAATATAACCATACGGTTCAAATTTCGTCCAATCAATTTTTATATCGAATTTCTGTTATGGCCAAATTTTCATCATTAACTATGAAAAATTAAATCTTGCTGGTGAGTGAAGTGAGGGCTTAACATTTCATGAGTGTCTTTATGTACAGTAATGTTCAAAAAGTAGATCTACTTGGTCAAAATTTGCCAAGATTAATTTTTATGTTATGTTATTATTACGAATCAATTTTCACCAAGGAATATTGAAAATAACCTCTTTTGACCATATAAAGAGATTCAGTTTGCGTAAGAACGGTTACATGGTAGTGAGTTCAGAAAACTAGACAATCCGACCTAAAATTCTTATGTCTTAATACTCAAATGTCAAAATACTGTTAGGAAATTCTGATAATTGCAATATTTTTTCACATAATAAGGCCTGAATAATTACTACTTGTAGATTTAATACGAAAGTACTGGGCGGGCGGGCAGATGGACAGACAAGGTTAAATCGATTTATAAAATGGTTCTAAATAGATCGGTATGATCGTTTAAGTCAAGTGCTCCTGAGTGTTACATGCAGCCAAGCAAACCTAATATACCCTTTATCGCAACTAAATGTAGGGTATAAAAACGTAACGTAACAAAAGTAAGGAAGAATTTCGAAAAAAGAAAACTAAAGAACTTCGAAGCGTTGAATCCCTTTACATGTTAGATCATTAAACTTTTAAAAAATGGAAAAGAAGAACAAGAAGAAGAGGAACTAATAACCAGCATTAAAATAATGACCACAAACTAAAACTTGTCCTTCCATACTTTGTCAATTCATGCTTTTGCCAGTGTTTAGAGAGCTACGACTTTCTTGTTTCTCTTTTCCTTTACCATAAAACCGCAAAGCTAGCATATAAATGTCTACCATGAACGATGTGTAATTGAAACCTAACGCGTTAAGATGTCTAAAGCAAAAAAAAAAAAATATATAAATAGATAAAAACAAGAAGAAAAACACAACTAACTCAACCATTCAATAGAAATAATAGTTAAGACTGTAGTTCCAGCCGTTCGTTCGTACATATCGTAGATGTAACTTAACAGATTACAATAAAACATTTATTTACTTATGTGTGCCTATGGCATGGTGTCGTAGTAGTAGTAGTAGTAGTAGTAGTAGTAGTAGAACGAACAATGCCAGCGAAACACAAAACGAGTTAAAATATAACTACAAAGCGAACATGGCCAGCAATAAAATTAAAGATTAAATAATAATAATATAGTAATAGATATGAGAATATGCAGTTTGTAGTAAATGCAGTCGGCGTGCGTGTACTTTAGGTGGTAATCTAATCTTAGAACTTTTTAAGCGTTAATAAGGCTTTTGTTTTATTTGCTGTTGTTTACTTTTGAAAATGTTATTATCTCACGTTGATGATGGTGGTGGCGGGCAACGCCACAAAGAAAGAAAATTCTATACGCCTTCCGGTGTACCCGACAATCTATGGCGAATATGTAAAGATGGCTTTTGTAAGTAAAGCGGTATTTGTTGCACTAAATCTCTAGATCGCTTGGATAGCTTGTTTCGTGTTTACAACTGTAGTCCGATATCCTTTATACGAAGCAGCACTTTGACTTACATAACACAGTAACTTGTGAAATCGGCTCCGGTTTATTCGAAAGCGCGTATAGATAGACAAATGTAGTTTAACTTACTTGCAGTTGGACTCTTCTTAAATACATTTGTATGTGTATATGTGCATATGTAAATATATGTTGTTGTAAAACTCATCGCTTACCATACGTACGGACAAAAGACATCGCCAACTCTACATGTGTCTTCTCAAACCCAGTACGTGACGCTTGTGTAAAAATCGGCACTTTTCGAAGTAGTCTTTATATTGGCTTTGTCTGATTCTACAGACAGGCGTAGACAGGCCGGCACATTTTTAATTTCTTCAAAGTTTAGCTGTGGTTAAACATATTTACACACTTTTGTTACTTTGAAAGCACCCAAAGGACGTATGGACGGACAGACACTGTCAACTCTATATATCTCTTATTAAACATGTACATACGTATATATGTTGAGATGCAAAGCTCGGCAATTTTCAAAGCATATTATGTAATCGTTTCGCCAGTTTCTAAAGAACGTACAGAGGGATGCACAGAATTTAACTCAATTGAATTATAATTTTCTTTACCGGTAGATAGACTTAGTTTAATTTATACGGATCCTTATTGAACATGTATTGCTAGGTAAAGGTCAGGATTTACAAAAATGCCTCTTATAATGGCCTTGTCAGATTCCAAAAGAACTACGGGCAGACGTACTTTAATTCACTCTTTTGCAAATACGAAAGACAAACAGACATAGCTCGACTTTATCAAAGTCTGTATCGTTCTAAACATATTTCTGGCTGTTGCAAGCTGGACGATAGAAACGGCATAACCCATTCTATGGTAATAAATATGAAAACAAAACTGTTCCAGTCATTTGAAGATTTTATATGTGGTTTTAAACTCGAGCACTTATTATAAACACACGCGATGGAATTTATCTATTATGAAATTGATATTAAATAATGCATAGAGATTGCGGTAGACAGAAAAGAAGAAGAGAAGAAAATAATATTAAATGAAATGAAAAAGTAGATACAATAAATAAAGTCTTGCTGTCATGTGTTTTCAAAAAATTCATCGCTATAATAATACTAAAGAGGAATTTAAAAAATAATTGACTCTATAAGGAATAGACGATAAGATGATGCATAAGTCAAAATGGCCAAAATAGTCAGAGAATCTCATAGAAAGAAATTTGAACTATTACTTGACCGCACTGCTTTTATCGTCTCGTACTTCACTACATATGTTGCACTGAACGCTTATGCGGATATAACCAATATCCAGAACGACTTCAAGTAGACATATCTGGCCTTGTTCGATATTAATCGTCTCAGAATGGTGTCTAAAAACGATTTAAATCTCAATCAAATGTAAGGGTTGTCAGATATCCGTCCGTCTGTTATCGTTCCCAGTCGACAGATCGCAAGTCACAATATATTTTGATGACATCTCATACACTGACGCATTTCAATTAAGAACAAACCCGGTTGAAAGTAAATGGAATCAGATCGTTTTTGTGAGCATTTCACATCAACTTCGATGGCTCTGGAATGGCTTTGGAAATTCAAAAGGAGGAGAAAGAAAACAAGAAACCCTGAAAAGAAAATTCCTTTGTAAATTTCGTTTCATTGAAAGGACTCTACATTTATACGCAACTCGGCTATTTTTTCTAAGCCACGGGAAGCTGGCTTATGCAAAACATTTAAAAAGGACTTCCTCGCGAAATGCTCCGGTGTATGTTAGGTGTCTCTGATTGCCCTGAACCTCTCTAGCAAGTCCGAAGATACTGTGAGAAACCCGATTTCGATTTCTATGCCGCCAAAAGAAAAGACCGCCCAGAAGAAGGTATCTGTAGTCATGTCTATATTTCGCCTGCATGTGTTACGGGAAATTTTCTATCAGCAACGTTTCTGAATTTCCATATAAATCTTAAATAGCCCTTTCGGATACTTCTTCCTTCAAAGACGATATTAGATCTGCGCAACGACTAAGACGTCTAAGGCGAACGCGATCGCACTTTCGTTGTTTAAAAGTGGTCTACAGTATCAAAACACGATTGCGGCCTTCCAGATGTGACGAAGAAATCGAAAAATCATTAAAAGGCAATCGCCTATGAATAAAATTCCTCTCAGTGAAAGCATTCGAAATTCAAATACACATCGTAATCGCTCCTTCCTCACACTTCTTGCGGTCAAAGGAGTCTGAGTCGTGCAAAATATATGGGGACAGATTATTCCTAGTGTTTCTCTTAACTTAGAGCGTAAAGAAAATCGAATCTCCGAGTTCGTGTTTACCCTGACTATTGAAATCATTACGTGTAGAGGCAATGCTATTACTTTGCTCCCTGTTAAATGGTTCACGCTTAACGACGATGCCCCTATCAGTCTTCCTCTATCGCATTACAACATTGTTGTTTTGCGAACGAGATCTGCTTAACGTACTTTCTAACGCCGTTTACATGTGTGTTTGTTTAATTTTTTAACAGAAAAACAACAATTTCAATGTTGATGATGATATATTATCATAAACAATATGATTTTGTAAAAACATTTTCAACTTTTATCTTCCAGTACTTCATCCACTAATTTGATAATTATTCGAATTTAAAAAAAAAAAAGGAGGTATTGTCTACATGCAGTGACATGAATAAATAAACATTAATTGTAATAACGATTATTAGGTCATTAAGTGATAAAAAAATTTTCATTTCATTTGATAAATTATATTGAAGTAGCTGTGGATAAGCTGACGCATACACGATTCATTTATGCTTCAGTCGAAATTACACTGACATTGATAAAATGCTAACAGCAGACGATAATAAATGTTTTCAAGCGGTTTTAATAGACACTTTTAGGCATTTAGGCGTCTTTTTGCATGACAAGCGAACGATAAGAAGAGCAAACGTACTATGCGTACTATGGTACGAGCGACAGTCTACAATTGTTGAGTTTCAAAAAAAAAAACAATATTTCTTCGTAAACCTAATAAAAGGCTTGTCTCCATTTTTTCCGCTCAA